GAATCTCTTATGAACAGAGTCTTATAAGATTATGAAGAAAGTTAGCTCATAATTCTACAGATTAAAACTATCATCTAAGTTATAGATATACAATGTTTTTTATATCTCTTTACTTCACAAATATAAGAAATTCTCAGAAGAGAATTCTGTGACTCATCACCCTGTTCATAAAGTACTAGAGAGTGAAAGAGAATATCAGATCAAAGAAATTATTGACTCAGAGAAGTGAGATTATAAGCTCTGATTCAAGATTCAGTGATAAGAGTATTCTGATAAGATAAATAAGTTCACTTGAGAATCATCTGAGCAGATAAGATATCTGCAGAAGCTGAGATATGACTTTTATACTGTGAATTTTAATAAGTCAGAATAATGCAGTCTTTACTAAGAATCTAATTATAATAAAGACATTAACACTGTCATTTGTAAACTCTAGTCTATAAGATAATAAGTTTCTACTGAGATGAACAGTCTGCAGTGTATACAAGAAAAGAAGAAATCATATTCTTATTAAAACTAAAAAACAAGAAAATAAACAGAACTGTGAACACAATTTAGAGATTAATAAAGAAAAAATAAAGAAAACTTATATTTACACTCTCAATATCTGTGACACTCAACTCTCTTATAACTATCAATTTCTTTCTTCAAAGAAGCAGAGAGTATCATATCTGTGATACAGATAATTGTTGCATTTGATGTGAAGACTGTCAGAAATGCACAGACTTCAGAGAAGCTGAATATCAGAGTATATACAGTTGCAGCAGAGTCTTGAAGACTGATCATCTGTATATGTGATCAGATATCTCTTACAAAGCTGTGTCTGCTCTCTCAGTTGTACTGAAGTATTCAGTCTGAAAATAATTGAGATACAGAGAGAAGATTTATCTGTTCAGATCAACTTCTATCACAAATTTATAGTATTCACATTATCTTAATTATCTGGATTTTATGAGTACTCAGAGACTCATCTCTTATTAATAATGAGATTGTGAAAATGCACTGTGATGTGAGAATCATTGATAGAGAATCTAGACATATTCACATATATCTGATCAGAGATTGTGTGAGTAGAGAGAAAGTAATCATAGGCCTGCAGAACTGCAGAAGACACTGATAATATTAGAAGCTTCACAAGAACTATCAGCTAGAATCTGTAAGAAATTACTTATAAGAAGACTTACAGTAAAGAGAGAGACTGCACTGCTTAAAGTCAGAAACTGGTCTGAAAGAGATAGAGAATTGACTGCTAGCCTGAAGATTGAATACAGTGATAAGGCTGAGAAGAGTGAAGACATGATTGTGAACAGCAGTGTCTCTACTTCATCAGCTGATAAAAAGTTATCAGAGAAGTTGTAGAAATACTTATAAGAAGCTCAGCAGTAGCCAGATATTATTTATAAAGATATTGAAATTGAAAAATTTTTATTCTTGAGAAGTTCTTGAATCAATATATGAATATTGTCAGAAACACTCTCTCTCTATCATCTGAGTGAAAACACTTTGCAGATGAATGAGAATACTCACAGTTATAAAGATAGAAGCTGTTACAGAAAAAGAGAAAAGAAGATGAGATTTTATAAACAGATCTGAGATATTTATACTACTCTAGAGAGGTTTGCTTACACTGTGAGTGATTCTGTGAAACAGTCAGATCACTCTAGTAAATAAGAGTGATTATAGATCACAGGTCTGAATCTTTCTATATGACTACAAAGAGTGATTACAGACTATGAACATCTTGATTCTACAATTCTACAGAGTTAATGAAAGAATGGAAAATTCCTTACAATTCTACAGTGTTAAAGAACAATGATTTACAAGAATGAGTGAAAGATTAACTTGTAAATACTTCTCTTTAATGAGAATGATCTCATAGAGAGTGATTCATCTGTAAGATAAATCTGTGTAATAATTACATAAGAATCTTATAAAAATGATTGAGAGTCAATCAGAACTCTTCTGTATGAAAGATGTAAGATGAATCTGTGTAATAGTCAGAGAAGAATCTGTAGATTATAAAGAATCTCACAAAATAAGAAACTGAGTGACAGACTCTTTTCTCTTTATAATAACAAGAGATTTTTCCTCACTGAGATTTTTTATAGATATGAAGAGTTTTTAGTGAGTATCACTGCAGTGCTGAGCTGATTCTATGAAGTCACTCAGTGAAAGACTTCACAGATGAAGCCTTAGAGAGGGAAGAATATGTAAGAAATCTCACTTCTCATAGATTCTTTATCTCTATTTCTATCTCTCATATAATTAATAGAGCTAGCGGCTCTTGACTATACACAACTATATAGACTGAAGTTTGTGAATACTATTCATAACTCAGCTTGAATGCTATTATACATTTGATCTCTACATTTTATCTTCCTACTGTGAATACTTCTAGTAGTTAACAGTACATATCATGCCAAGCTGCAAACACCTGAATAATTGCCTGTGAGCACTTATTCTTACACTTAGTAAGTTCTGTGAGTGATCTCATGATATCTGAGAAGTTTTATATAAATCACTGATAGAAGTTAGTAAATTCAATGAAGCTTCATACATCTTTCATAGTATATGAAGTCTCTCACTTGAGAATAGCAGAGACTTTCTCAGAATTCATTTGAATTTTCTTATTAGCTTCTATGATAAAGTCTAGATATTTTATACTCTTGACTTTAAAATTACACTTATCAATATCTATTGATAGTTCTGTGTCTTATAATTATTATAATATCTTTTATATATGTTCTTGATATTCTTTTCTGAATGCGTCAGTGAAGATAAGAATATTATCTAGATATATAGATACAAACTTATTAAGAAAATCTCAGAGTACTCAGTTGATATACTTCTGAAATGTACTAAGAGTATTAGTCAGTTTAAAGAATGTGACTACTCAGTCAAAGAGACTGTAATATGTTCAGAATACTGTAAGTCATTCATTCTCTTCAGTAATACAAATCTTATAAAATGCAGTGATGATATCTATTTTTATAAATTATTGAGCTCACTTAATATATACTAGAGTTTCATTGATAAGAAATAGAAGATAACAATCTTTCTTTATCAATCTGTTCAGATCTTAATAGTTCACACAGAATCAGAGTTCTTTATCTAACTTCTTTACAAAGAGAATAGAAGCTGCAGTAAAAGACTTACTAATATATATAAATTTCTTATTCAACAGATTATTGAGTGTCTTCTGAAGAAGAAGAAGTTTATCTTGAGATATATTATAAAGAGAGTCTCACAGTGATTCAGAGTTCTTATCATTCTTCTTTTTTAACTTGATACTGTGATTTACTTCTGAATCTTGTAAAGAAGATATATTTATAATATTATCTTATCAGAAGACATCTAGATATTCATGATATTATTGAGAAAGTTTTATGTGAGAATCTGTTATTATAGTATTTAATAACTTTTCTAGAGCTTTCTTGATATTGATCAGACTGATGAAATAGATTGATATATAATTCTGCTATTAATGACTTTGTCAGTGACTCTGTCAGTGATTTTAATAATGACTTCTTTTTTAAAGTATTTTATAAGTATTGACAGAGATCTGTGTAAGATTCATAGTCTTATAAATATCATCTTCATGAATTCTATTATTATTAGAGAATATTAAGCTTCTGTTTTAAGTATTTAATAAGATGTCTTATTCAGATAGCTAGATAAGTTCTAGCATGAGATTATAGTCAAGATTATTAACTTTATATATATAGACATCTTCATATTAATGTTCTCTGACATCTATGTTTAGTTTTATTATATATCAAGTATGAATGTCTTCTGAATTATCAAATCCTGCAAGAAGTCAGAGTCTTGATAAGAGAATACACTGAAGATTATAATATCTTATGATTGAAGATTTAATCATTGTATAATAACATAGATTACTGTCTATCATAGCTTTTATATTATACATGTTATCTATTACAGTAGATACAAGAATCACATTCATTGTTATTTTCTCTTTAAATCATCATCATTCAATCTCTTCAAGCTTCTGCTTACAAATTTAGACAGAAGCTAATCTTTTCCCTGTTTTATTAAGATATTTTCATAGTTATCTTTCAAATCTTTCTCTAATGTAATGTGATTGACACAGACAGGTACTGATTCATTCTTTAAGTAAGAAGACATGTAGATTAATCAACAGTTAAAAGTAATATATCTCAATCAGTTACAGCTAATACACACTTCTTATTAATATTGCTTAGCAACTTCTTCAGAAGTGATCTCAGAGACTCAGAAGTTCATTCAGATAACAGAGACTCTTGCTTATACATAGACATTTGAGTCTACTCAGTTCATAGCATCTGCATCATTGTTGTTATTTCTCAGCACAGGTGTATAAGTGACTGAGTTATTTCTCAGTATAGATATATAAGTGTAATATCTTCTATCACTGTTCTGTATACTCTTGAGCTTGATAAGATGATTATTCAATGTCTGAAGCTGTGTGCAGAAGTCTTTATAAGTTAGATCTTTGTTTATACTCATAAGAGTCTGTAAGAGTTCAAAAGTTAATATCTTCTTAAGTATACTAATCTTTATTTAATTCTCTCAAGATTGATTATCTACTTCTAAGATCTTGATGTTGAAGTCAGAGATGAATGTTATAAGAGAAGTGTTTCTCTGTCAGATACTCTGTAATTAATCTAATACTTTCTGTTATATAACAGTGTCTCAGAACAGAATATTAAGATATTTAATAATATTATTAGATATTCATAATACTGATTCACATGCTTTTATTCATGAATGAAACTTCTGTTTCATATAATTCTTCAATCATTCATTGATATATTAATCTTGATTGATTAGTGAACTAATGATATCTTCATTCATACTCAGTTTCACAAGAATTTTCATTCTTTATGATGAGTAGAGAGTGAGATCAGAAGTATTGAAATATATAAGAGCATCTAAGTATTCTTTCAACACTTTTGTATTTAATTCTATAGATGTTGAAATTGCATGAGTTTCTTATTGAGTCAATTATTGAATTTTCTTATATTAAAGTTATTAAGTTCACACTCAGTCAACCGCTCCACCACGAACTCGCTCGATTTTTCGAATAAGAACCCGCCGATAGATCCATCGAAAAGCCCTCGATCATACGAGCATTTTGACCCCATCGCCGACCGCATACCCCGTGTGGTGGTGGAGTTATCCAGCCAAACGTGAACCGGACGTTGTTCGAAGCTCCTGTGTGGGATTATCCCCCGTTCTCCCCTACCACACCACAACCCCGGGCCAGAGTGCCATACAAATTGTAAGGTGAAGTGACCTAGCCATATGCACCAATCTTCTCGATTTTGGAAGACCCCCGACCTGTAGTTGTGGAGATATCCGAGGAGCGACCTCCGCGAAAACCCTGTCCATCTTTGATGTTCCAAAACACCAACGCCAAGTCTCACCCTCGTACCGCCCTTCCCAATCTGGCCCATCCCCGGCAGAAAAATACAAAAAGATACCTCGGCGATAATATCAAGCACATAATCAACGGACTCTTCTGAAGTGCAACCTCCACGGTCCGCCGCCAGTGTATCTAGACTTCAACACCAAGTCTCACCCCTGTACTACCCCTCTCAATCTGGCCCATCCCCAGCAGAACGATACAAAAAGATACCTCGGCAACAGTATTCAATACATAACCAGTGAACAACGAGTCAACAGCATATCAACAACTATAAAATCAGTATACCCCAAGGTCTGACTGAGCCTTTGATCCCTGCACAGTGAGATATATTAAATCTAGTTTTAATACCTCAATATTCAATAGATTCTGCAAGGGATTGAGAACAGCAACACTAGGTTTCTATTGAATTTGAGAATTAACTCTATATTGATATAATCATTGACAAAGTCTTCTATTTTGAGATATAAATAACCAGTTCCTCTACATCCCGCTGGCAATATTTATATTATCATATAGAAACAGACTTATATTCTCTATAATATCAAGACCCTGAAGAGGGAAAGTCTTGGTAGGGGGTATACAGTAGTGCATATCTTAGCAGTTTCTATCTCATTCTTCTGCAGCAGTTAATGCAAAAAAAAAGATCTTAGAAATAGTTTTTTACTTCTCTTGAAAAAGTAAGGTGTTTTTCTCTGGGTTTTACACAATATTCTTACAAAGAATTAAAAACAGAGTTGTTTTCTGTCATAATTTCATATTCTTTTAAGTAAGAATTACTATTTCAGTGGCTGAAGAGCTTTCATTAATACTTAATTCTTTTTTACACTCTTTATTAACTGATTTGAGTTGCACACTTGTTGTGTGAGGAGAATTGGATGATTTAGAATAAAATTGAATAGTTTTAATCAATTTCTCTGCAAAAAATTGATTTATTTTTTGTCAGTTTTTCTCTCAAAAACTGTCATATCATCTGATTTATTATCAATTGATATCATACTTTTCCTCACTGTATCCCAAGAAAGAGATTGTAAAGATTTTATTGATTTATCTTAAAAATCAATTTTAGTTTATTAGATTCTCTTCAAAAATCTAACCTAGTTACTGAACTAGTGTGAAAAAAATCAGGTGTTTTATACACAAAAGTCTTTTATTCTTCTTTTGAAACAGTCTGACCAACTTTTCAATTGAAAACAGACTTAGAAATATCTCAATTGAAACAGTCTGACCAACTTTTCATTGAGTGAAAACAATGAGTTCAAAAATACACTCAGTTGATGTGGAAAAAGATGCTTTCTCAAATGCTATTCCTGAGATTGAAATTCTGAAGAGAAGAAAGAAAGAAGAAATAGAGAAACAACAAGTTCTTGAAATACAGGAACTTGAAAAAGCAAGCAAGATTCTTGGAAAGCAGTGTCTGAGTGAGATGAATGAAGAAGTTCTGTTAATTCTTCATGCTCAGGCCAGACAACTACAGGAGGTGATCAAGTTCAAACTTGGAATCTCAAACACAGTTCAAAAAACCTTGAAAATTCCTAGTACAATCACTGACTCTTCATCTTACTCTTCTTCTTCCTTTCTTCCTACTCCTTCTTCTTCTTTGAATCAGAAGAAAACATATGCTCAAGCAGCTGAATCTGCTGTCTCTAAACCTGCTGTCTCAAAACCTGCTCAAAATCCTGAGAAAACTGAGAAGAATACTGCTCATGCCTCTATTCATAGAAAAGTGGAAAAGAAAATGCAAAAAGAGAAAAACTTCCAAATCTCTAGAAACAGAAGACTCATTCTCAAAGTCTCAAACCAGGACATTCTGCAAAGAAACAAGCTAAACTCAAATCTCATTTTCAGAATCAGAAATGAAATTAATCAGCAGTTCTTTTCTCAGTTGATGACTGATATTGAAGTTCAAAAACCAGTTATAGCTTCAATTGAGCCATCATTCTTTGGAAACTCTATTATTCTGACTACAATGCCTGAATTCAGTGCTGAATTCCTTATTCAGAATGAGAATCTCTGGAAGTCAGCAGTAGAATCATTGCTAAACACAACAATTCTATCTGAAAGAGATGAAAAGTGGGGCAAATTCATTCTTCATGATATTCCAGTTGAAATTTTTGACTGTGAAGAAGGAATGCTACTTCTCAAAAATGAATTGAAAGAATACAACTCCATTCAACTGAGAAAGGAGCCTGTATGGCTAAATTCAATTGAGTTCAGACAAAGCAGGAGAAATGCCTCTGTTCTAGTATATACAAAAACACTTGAACAGTCAAAGATCTCTGAAGTAAGAGTAGCAGGTTTGAAAATGAGAGTTCATGAATACAAAGACTCAAGAATGAATCTCAAAGCTCAAACACAGTGTTCAAACTGTCAAAGATATGGACACTTTGCAATCTCATATTTTAGAGATGCAAAATGTGCATTCTGTGCCAGAGATCACAAAACTAGTGAGCATAAATGTGAAACATGCTCAAAAAGAGGTGAAATTTGTCAACATACTCTGCTTAAGTGCTCTAATTGCAAAGAAAAACATGCATCTAGCTCTAAAGAATGTATGTTTGCTCCTAGAACTCAAAAGAACTGGAGAAAAGATGAAGCTCAAAGTCAATCTAGAACTGAAGAGAAGAGTCAAGCCAGTAAACTCACAACTGCAAGCTCAAAAAGAAGAAACTCTCAATTATCTAAGTCTTCAAACTCCAATTCTCCAGCAAAATGTAAACAGAATTTGAATCCTCAAACTCCTGTTAAGATTAGAGAATTGAGAAATGACTCTGGTGATAAACTAGATATAATGCAAGCAGTTGAGATTCCTACTTTTCAGAACAGTTATAATCTACTATCTGATGATAGTGATTAGATTCTTCTCTACTCTCTTTTAGTATGAATATACAACAAAAACAACAAAAAAAGTTTAAAAACTCTTCAAAAATCACATTTATTCAAAATAATGTGGATAGAAACTCAAATTGCATTTATTCTTGTCTTCAAATTGCATTTGAACAAAAAGTTGATTTTGTACTGCTTCAGGAGCCGAATTTTGATGCTGAGCAAAAATATGTCATTTCTCATTCAAGCTACTACTGCTTTTTACCTCAAAAGTCTGAGATAAAGTCAAGAGTAGTGATCTATGGAAGAAAGAGATCAAGATATCAATTTAATCTAAGATTTGATATCATGTCTGACCCTGATATTCTGGTGGGTGATATTATAGATAAAGAAAATGAGTTTGATACTATACAGCTCATAAATATCTATAATGAAAAGTCATTGAAGGAAAATAACAATATCTGGACAATTGATAGAGGATTTCTGAACATAACTCCATCAAGAAACTCTATAATTGCAGGAGATTTCAATGCACATCATCCCTGGTGGAATTCAGAATGCAAGAGAGCAGTGAGAGCTGATAATCTGGTTGAATGAACCTTTGAGCATTCAATAGATTTGGTTAATAAGTCTGATCAACAAACATTCTTTAGAAAAGGCATGAAACAGAAGTCTATTATAGATCTAACATTCATGTCACAAAATCTAATGAAAAGAAGACTTGTAAACTGGTTTATTGATTCAAATGAGACATCAGAATCAGGTCATGAGATTATTCAATTTGATATTGAACTGAGTGAAAAACAAATGAGTGAAAATCCTCTTCTCTCTAATCAGTATAACTTTGAAAAAGCTGATTGGAAAGCAGTTGAAGAAAGCATAAAACTGTTAAAATCTGAAAGACAGAATGAGCTATATTGGAATTCTGGTCAAGATATCTCAAATGAAATGCTTGAGAATAGAGTGAAGCTTATTACATCTATCATTCTAACAAGTGTTAGAGATAATATTCCAAAAAGAAAATCTTCTGAGTATTCAAAACCTTGGTGGAATGAGAATATCTCATCTAAAAGAAAAGAATTAGCTACTGCTAGAAGAGATTGGAAGAATGATGTAATATCTGATGAAGAGTTCAAAACTGTCAGAAATGAATATTTTTCAGATATTAAAAGAGCTAAAACAGACTGCTGGAATAAATTTCTTGAAGAAGCACAAGGGAAGGAAGTTTTTAAAGCTTTTAACTATACTAAAACAAGAAGTGTAGCAAAACTTCCAGCTCTAGAATATGAGTTTCAGAATGAATCATATACAGCAAACTCTTTTGAGGAAAAATGTCAAGCTTTCATGAGAATTCTCTTTCAGAACTCACCAGATTCAGATTCAGATTCAGAGGAAGAGAATATATCACTTCTCAACTACATTGATGAAAATGACTGGGAATGGCCTGATCTTACACAAGATGAATTAGAGTCAGCTATCTTCTCAAGTTCTGTTAAAACTGCTGCAGGTCCAGATTCAATTAATCACTTGATTATTCAAAATACATATTCCTACTTAAAGAATGAATATTTTGAGCTCTTTTTCAATCTCTTGAAAAATGGATATCATCCTGAATGCTGGAGAGAAGCCACTGGAGTGATTCTTGCAAAACCTAATAGAAAAACTTCAATTCCTAAGTCATATAGAGTAATATCTCTATTGAACTGTTTAGGAAAGGTTTTAGAAAAGATAATAGCTACTCGACTATCTTTTATAAGCTCTATAGATGATTCTCTTTTATTCAGTGAACAAATGGAAGGTAGAAAACAGTGTTCTGCAATTGACACTGTTCTCTCAGTTGTTCATGATATTCAAATAGCAAAGCATGAGGGTCTGGTCTCAACTGCAGTTTTTATTGATATAAAAGGAGCGTTTGATCATGTTTCAAAGTCAAAGTTAATTCAGACATTGAAGATATTAAAACTGCCACTTTCCCTAATAAAATGGGTTAACTGTTTTATGTCTAAAAGAATTATACAACTCTTCTTTGATGAAATGAAACAAGACAAGACTGAGATAAAAATAGGAGTACCACAGGGGTCTCCAATCTCACCCATTTTATTTGCAATATACACTGCATATCTATTCAAAAATAGAAATATGAGAATAGTGCAATCTCCGAGTTATGTGGATGATATTGGTCTAGTCTACAGCTCAAAAACTATCAAAGAGAATTTGAAAGTAATTGAAGAAGCTGCAAAGGAAATCTTTGTTAGAGCAGATATCAATCAAATTCAATTTGATATGGATAAAACTGAGTTGATTCATTTCTTTCCTAGATTCAATGAGAAAGAACTATCTCTAACTCTTTTAAATAGAGAGATTAAACCCAGTGTAAATGTCAAATGGTTAGAAGTATGGTTAAACTCCAAGTTGAATTTTAAATATCACATTCAACAAAGAACTGTCAAGGCAGAAAGACTATTGAACAACATAATCAGACTATCAAATACAGAGAGGGGTCTATCCTTCCAGGCTATGAGACAGTTATATATAGCCTGTATTACATCAGTAGCTGATTATGGAGTTCAAGTTTGGTGGAATAATCAAGGGAATTTCACTGAACTCTTTCAAAGTCTGCAAAACAGAGCCTTGAGAAGAATTCTGGGAGCATTTAAATCATCTCCTATTAAAGCAATGGAAATTGAAGCTTCAATTCCTCCTCCTACTATTAGATTTGAAAAGGCCTGTATGAACTATGCTCTGAGAGTTGTAAAGATGAGCTCAAATCATATAATCAGAGAAAGAGTCTCTTCTTCATTTCCACCAATTAACTCTGGAAATGAACTGGATTGGAATAGATTTCTTGATTGGAATGAAAATAATTCTTCAAAGAAAATGCCTTCTCAACTGTACAGACTATGCTCTCTGATTAAAAATCAATTTTCTTCTTTAAATGTTGAAAAAGTTGATCATGAGAAGTTATCTCCCTGGAGAAAAAAGCTTGAATCTCTTATAGACTTACAAATAAGTGAACTATCAAAAGAGAAAGAATATGAACAGCATTTGAAGAGAATTTCTACAATCAATATAAAAGACTCTATTCTGATTTATTCAGATGGCTCAAAAAATGAGAGCTTGAACAGATTGAGCGCAGGCATTGCTTATACTGAAGATAATATTAATTTTATCTCAGATTTCTGGAATCTAGGCTCTGAATGTGAAGTCTTTGATGCTGAACTATTTGCAATAGTGAAAGCTTTCAAACTCATTGAAATAAAATCTCATAAAAGAGGAAATTGTTTGAAAGAGGCATGGATATTCTCTGATAGTCAAGCTGCTTTAAAAAGACTTAGAAATAGTCAGATTCATAATGGTCAAATGAATCTTGAACTGATCTTAAACTCTGTTTTAAAAATTCAAGAGAGAAGAACATCAAAGCTGAGAATTCATCTGCACTGAGTTCCTGCTCATATGAATATTCATAGCAATGAATTGGCTGATTCAGCTGCAAAAAAGGGTGCAGAATTAAGCAGATCTATTCAAAAAATTGTGTCCTGGTCTTTTATAAAGAGAAAAATAAAAGAATCTTGTTTAGACAAGTGGAATGAAAGCTGGCAGAAACAAAAGAAGAGTATACATTATTCAAGATTTGAAACAAAACCCAAGTGGAAATCTTGTTCAATTAAATGTAAAAAGAAAATATTCTCATCTATAATACAGCTGAAACTAGGACATGGCTATTTCAAATCTTATATACAAAGATTTGATGATAGATTTGACTCAATAGAATGCTCATTCTGCAATACAAATGAGAATCCTGAGCATATTATAATGCACTGTGCATTATACAATAGTCTCAGAGCCAGATTGAAAGAGAAGTATGATCTAAATCAATTAAATATGAGATTCTTATTCTCAACTGAGACAGGAATTAAATACTTAATAGACTTTCTATCAGAAACTCAAGCAGCTACAAGAAAATGGCTAAATTCAGAATTATCTGAATATGAAGAGGAGGAAATCAATCAGATATAGTCTGTTAAAACAGCTATACACTCTCTTTTAAGAATTTGTTTTGTTATAGTCTCTCTTTACTTTTTCTTTTTCTGTATCTTTTCCTTTCAATTTCTTTCTATCTATCTATTTAATGTGTCTATCTTTGAGACTGTGTTCTTTCTCTCTTTTCTTTTGTCATGATATTGTCAAATGGTTACAAAGTATCAAAAGATGTTAAAACACTGCAATTTGTAAACAGTTTTTGTATTCTGGGCTGGAATTTTCTGATTTTGCATATCTGAAATTGATGAATGTACAATAGTTAACTTTACAGACATAGAAAAAACCCTGAGAACTAAAGTTCTCAGGTAGATGTCATAGTCTCTGACTGCATACATCTATAATTGAAGAATAATAATATAATAATAAAGTTATTAAGTTGCATGTATATTAGCTATCTATTACTATTATAATTTCAACATTGCTCAGAGTCACTGTGATATTATATCTATGCTTATATTTAAGAGTTCTTCTATATTATTGTTAGATATGATTATATTGATTATTCAATATATGATATCTGTGAAATCAGAAGAAGTGTAATTATATAAATATCTCATACATCTGTGATATCAGAACTCTCAGATCTTTCACTAATATTCTCTGTGTAAAATCTGACTCTCTTTGTAAGATCTTGTTACAGAGTCAGAGTGACTAATGAGTAAGCTTCTATCTGAGAACTCAGTATTCATTTAACTGTTTAACTGTTTCTCTATTTCTTATATGTTATTATGTGTTCAGATATCATAATGAGTAATTGTTTCTAATAAGAAGATAATAAACATTTTTCAAGTATAAGAGGTCTATACTGAATAGATCAGTATAATATTTATAGATCTTATATAACAAAGTAAAAAACATTAGAGAAGAAAAGAAATAGAAAGTGTGAGAAGCAGTAATCAGAGTCAATATTTATACACATACATAATAATATACACAGTGAAACTTCAGAGTGAAAGAATAGAGGTTTTTATACATAGTAAAGCTTTGAAG